ATATATATATATATACGAGGTTCACTTTTTCTTTTTTTTGTATCATTTTTAAGATATACAGCTTTTGTATGTTCTAAAGGTATAAGTCCTTATAATATGAATTGAAGTGAAACTTGTAATCACTCCGTCTGGGTATTTGAAAGGTTTTCAAAAAAGACCTCAAATTACATTCGTTTTTGCTTTGACAACTTCGCGTAGTAACTTTGCAGAGTAAAATTGTCGTGAAATTTTAATTTTCTAATTTTGATATTTTAAGCAGATCATTCTGATGTCAAACTCCAGAAAGTATAAGGTCGTCTTACAAAACATTTATACTTATATCATTTCTCTATTAACTGTGTTCTGTTTGCCCCATAGTTCTCGGTAACTTGCTAAAGGCCGGATGTTTTGGTTTGGAGCGTTTACCGATGGCTAACCATTTGATTTAGTAACAAGTTGTTTTGTGAAGGATGGTCCTGGTATTTAAAAATTTTAAGGATCCCTGATTTTTTCAACAGATTTAGTGCGCTTGTTATGGATTTAGTTTCTTTGTATTTATCAAAAAAACAGTGTTAAAGGCGGTAACGAAGATAGAAAAAACCAACAATGCCACGTCTATCCTCTCACAAGAGAAGGACTCTCTGATGATCAGGAAATTCTTTGAATACAGATCTTATTGCTTGCGTTGCAAGCAGGAAAGTCGTTGCGTTATAAGGCACTTTCGCAAAGCCAAGTTTTATGAGAAACATTTCCAATTAGCATTCTTAAGTAGATTCCTTAAAAAAAGTTGCTTGCGTGGTTGTCTAACTTGTTATTTAGTGGCTAGCTACATATATCTTTAACTTTGAAGACAGGATACTTACGAACGGCCGATATGAGCACGCAGTTTGTATCCAGAAAGTGTTCTTTGGTAGTTTGGCAAAATCGTGTTGCAGGAACTTTTTATCTAAATTCACAGCGTTTCAAAACTTCTGGTTGCTAGGTTTCTTCGTTACTGCCTTTTATCATCAATTCTTTATCAGTCCTTTTGCCTTATACTTTCAGAGATGATGAGAAGACTGATCAGAATAGTTTTCGAGGAATTTGCGCTACAGCTCTGTTTTTCCTGGTCGTAAGCGCCCTTGCATTCCCAAACGGTAAGAGATATTTCCCTTCTGTTTTTCATTGAACACACTATTGAAGTAAGACAGTTTCTTCTTTATGTTAGAAAAATTTTTCGAAAAATTTAGATTTTTTGCACAGTTTAAGCACTCGAAAAGCAAAAGAAGTGAGCAGTTTTCGCATCAAATCTCAGAAATTAGAAGAAACTAAAATCTGTTTTAGTTGTTGATACAGGATTTTAATCGAACTGAAGCTCTTGCTGCGGAACTTTATGAAGTGAATTAGTAGTACTTTTGAAAAGACCGGTCAATAGTTGTAGTTTGAAAAAGGCACTGCAAAATGCTCCAGAACTCAAGCGGTCGGAATAAAGTGTTAGAAACAGTAGGATTTGTTTGGAAAAAAAAATTATTTGTTTACCTCAGCAAAAAAGTGAATCTGCATCTGAGTCGTATATTTTTCTCTGTATCCTCACTGCTTAGAACAGCAGATACGTTTTGATTGCTTAATTTCTTTGTTCTTTCTTATTATGAACTCACACACGGATAAAAGTATAATTTGGCTGAGAACTTGAAGTACTGGAACCGTTAGATTAAGCGACTGAATTTTACCTACATTCGTCAGCTTTAATTTATCTTGTTTGATTCATAATTGGCGAGAAAAAGCACACAAAGTTATAGTCAAAGTTTCTTGAAATTTCTTCTGCTTTGGTGGAGGGGCTATTGTTTGGCGCCATGAGAAAGGGGTTATTTGAAGTGAAATAACTTTGAGAAGGAAGATGGCATGAAGCTCTGTTTAGGAAAAGGCGTTTAGAGATGCGGTTTTACGAGTTTATATGATTGGAATTTCAAATATGTATTTGTTTTAAATTTCTAGAAGAAAACTGGGCTTTTTTGAGGGTCCGGACTGTTGTCAAATCAAATTAGATGGAAATTTTTGTAAGATGAAAAAACAGACTTTGTTTTGAGTGCAGCGCAAAAAAAATGTTTGAATATGCATCAAGTCCCAAAAGCTAATGGACGTCATTTATTTTTGTCTCATTTTAGTTCCGCCGCAACTGGGATTTTAATGAGGAAGTCTGGTTTTTTTACTGTAGTTTTTTTTGCTCTTTTTTTCTTGTCAATCCTCATTTGAGTTAAGTTTTTTCATTTATTATGTTATTTGATTTTATTTTTGTTTTCTTGCCTGTACACTAACTTTAAATAGAAGTTACCTTTTTCTGTAGGTAGATAACTGATTGGGTTTTTCTTTCTTGAGTGGTTCTGATAAGCCAGGGCCAGGAAAAGGCTTACTAATGAACCGGTTGAAATCAGCTCCAGTGGTAGTTGCACTGTCTTCATGTACTTTCGTAATTTAGACCGTGAATGTCGGTGTCTCGGAAGAAGGAACTGCTTACCCAAACCTATCGGTAACAACGAGTCAGTTACAGCGCTATGACCAACATGCAAAGCGAAGGCTTGCTGTTCCACCGCTGCCACTTGTATGTATCTTCGACTCAGGTCGTTATGGTACAATGGCTGGCTCCAACTTTTCATTTTTCCACTGCTGAGTTTTTATACGAGTACTTTGCACTGGAGTCATGTGTATTGAAGTGGTCTGTGCCACGTTAAAGTTGAAGAAATCAACTCCATAAGCGATGTTTTCCTTCTTAGACAAGTAATGAAAGAACCAATTTCTACCTTAAAACTTCGAGTTATTCAATATGAAGACATACAGTTTTCAATGAAGACTTATCTTTTGAGATGCATTCTCAAATATCAAATGTAAAACTTAAAGTTATAAGTGTCTACAGTAAGATGCGATCAACCCGTCAGGACTTAAAACCGTAACCTCTGTCTCAAATCGTTAGGACACATCACTTGCTGGAACCTTCTAAGATCGCCACCTAAGTTCTGACTTCTCTACATTATTAGACTGTTTCAAAGATGGTGCTACTGCCGCTTATTATTCTCGAATTGGGTGTCCTAAGTTTTTTGTAGTTGTGATGAGAAACCATTATTTTCATCCGTCTTTTACTGCTATGTCGTTCTCACTGACCTGTATCTGCTCATTCTCAATAAAATTTAGGTCTGACCGTACTGACTCAGTGCTACCTGTAAGGCTCTAACATCGGGGTGCATAACCGCATTGTGACGAGTTGTTGCTGCCACAAAGGGGCTGTAAAGTTTTAGTTGAGGCTTGATATGATCGACATGGCTTTTTGACAGTAGCAAGCTGCGATGAAAACATTCCAAATGTATATTAGTTTTTTAATCTGTAAGGGTCCCGAACTACTGTAGAACTCTTTTTAAAGATATTTGGAGAAAGCCGTATTTGTACTCAGAAAATTTATGGTTCCTTGAAGTTCTGATCGTAGTGCGGCTCTCAGGAATGCTCTGCAAGATGCAGTTCTATAAATTGTAATTTTGCTAAGAAATCAGATAAGGAGCTTCAATGTTGAGCTAAGCAGCTTTTGTTGAGGAGAGGCGGCATTGTTGGGTGACTTTACAGATATTTCAAAGAATAACCAGATTTTTCGTACTTTTAGGGAAATTATCCTTGTTTGGTTGTTTCATAGAGGTTGGTCAATTACTGAGAAGTATGCCGATTGAAAAGATAAGTTTAAATCCTTCGCGGAGTCAAGCCTTCAGGAGCTTTTTTGCTGATAGGGTTTCTGTTTATTTTAAGTTTGGTTATCGGCGTACTCGATGAAAGCCAGATAATGCTAGTAAACAGAGTAAGTGCGTGGTCATCACACATAGTGGGGTAAGTGCGTCATAGTCATCCTCTTTTCAGTTTGCTACGGCTTAGTACAAAACGTAAAACAAACGTTCAAATGGGGAAGTGGGATTTGTGTTTCATGAGGGATGCTGCAGGGTAGATGAAGTACGTGTGGTTGTTTCGTGTTTATTATTTAGATGTTCCTCCAGTTTAAATAAGTTTATATTTTTGGACAGTATTAAATATAGACATTCTTAGATGGTTTGGAGTTCAAGTAAGCTCAAATTTTTTCAGAGTTTTTTGGGTATGGAGCTGTTTTGCAATTTTTTCTGAGAAAGGTCATTTACTGACTTGTTGTTGTCTATTTTTTCTTTTTTATCCGGGTCAGCTCACTGTAGTCGTGTTATCAGCAATAAAATTATGCTTTGAGCATACACAGGAATAAGCCGGCACTTTTGGCAACCTCATTAACTCATTTGTAGGTCCTTTCATTCGTCCACATCCGGTGCTATGGAGGATTATTTTTGGGGTAAGCGTTATGTACGCGATGCTGCTGCAGTTTGCTTTGTTCCAAAGTTTTGGCGATATAAAACGGACGTTGAAGTGGCTAGATCCTAAAAGACTTAACATGGAAAGACTTGAAGAAAAGGTTTTTTTTTGGTTTCAAAGAAACTTTTTTAGTTTTTGTAGTGGGCCAGTCCTTTTTGAAGATTTCAACAGAATCAGTATTATTTTCTTTCAGATTTTAGGCATGTTGCAAACGTTTCTTTCATTGGCTTTTTCAAGATTTTTAGATTTTCTTCAAATTAATGACTTTAGGAATATGCAGTAGACTGTTCGAACTTCACGTGGGAGCGGATTTCGAAGTCTATTGATATTTTTGTAATTGGGCATTTCTTAGGGTGGATGATGAAAGCATTACTTATCCGTCATCATCTTATCTGTTGGTACATTAGCATCGCTTGGGAAGTCACTGAGGTTCAAACATTCAAAACAAATGTCTCATTCTTTTGAGACTTTCTGGTTCTATTTCTTTTCCTTTTTCCCTTGAACTTTTAGCATGTATGCAATGACGGGTTTAGTATTTTGTAAAGTGGTTAACTTGTTATTTTAATCTAGCTGGTATTTTCACACTTGCTCCCGAACTTTGAAGAATGTTGGTGGGATATTATTATTCTCGACATATTTTTATGTAACGGCCTTGGGATCTACTGTGGGATACGCTTGGCACATTTTTTTGAAATGAGAGAGTATCACTGGGAAAGCATAAAGTAATTTTTCGCGTTTTTGGTTAATAGTTTTTATATTTCCGCCTCTGTTGTCGACTGGTTTTCACTTCTCTTTTACAGTAAACGTAAAGTAAATTCTTTTATTCTTCTCTTCAGCAATATTCTGTTGCGAGATATTTTTGGTATTTCAATCA